GCCAGAAGCCACTACATGTATGCATCTATGTGCATACGCACATCTCTCTCTGTCTGTCTCTCTCTCTCTCTATATATGTGTGTATATATATATATATGTGTGTATGTGCGAACCCTCCCGTATCGGTCTTTGAGCGTTTCATTCGTGCTCTTGCCGGTCATCGCCGTTACTTTCATCCGTGCCTGCTCATCCATCCTTCCTATTCGTCATGTCTCCGCTGTCTTCTCGTGTTAGGATCTCATTGGAATCAGCTAGATTTGGGAACTGCTCCATTCTCATCAAAGTGTCATCCGGTTCCAATGAGAATCCAAGTGGACAAAGCTGGATCTGGGATGTGCCCAATTCGAATTCGATTAAAATTCGATTCGAATCGGAATAAGATTGGAATCAGCTGGATTCGGGATCTGCTTAACTCCAAGTAGAGTCCCATTAGATGCCAAGCGGAATCCAAGTGGAATCAGCTGGATCTCCAATTCGGATTAGATTCTAATTCGAGACCATTAGGACTTGAATTTGAATCAACTGTGTATGGGATCTGCTCCATTCCAATCATATTCGAATTCGATTCCAATAGGAATCAACATTGAATCAGCTGGGTCTGGGATGTACTCGATATGAACATACTTGGAATCAGCTTGATCTGTAACCTGCTCAATTCTAATTATATTCAAATTAGATTCCAATAGGCATCCAATGGAACTCAGCAAGATCTCGGATGCGTCCATTGCAATGAGTTTCTAACTAGATCTCAATGGGAATATACTTGGAATCAGCTGGATATGGGATATGCTCGATTCCAATTCGGCTCAAATTCGAATCAACTCAGAATCAGCTGGATCTGGGATCTGCTCCATTCCAGATAAATGTTGAATAGGAATGCAATTTAACCAACTGGACCTGGGACCTGCTCCATTCCAATGGACCCCAATCGGAATCCAATCGGAAACAACTAAATATGGGACCTGCTCCGTTCCAAATAGATTATGATGGGAACCCACTGGGAATCCACTCGGAATCAGCTGGATATGGAATCTGCCCAATCCGGACGAGATACTAACTCGATCCCAATAGGAATCCAATTGGACCCAGCTGGATCTGTGATCCGCTCCTCCCCAATCAGATTCTAAGTAGATCCCAATAGGAATCAACTTTAAACCAGCTGGACCTAGGATCTGCTCATTGTCACTTCGATTCGACTTGGACTCCGATATGAATACACTTGGAATCAGCTGGATCTGGGATCTGAAAATATATCAGATCGATTCTAAGTAGATCCCCATCGGAATTCGATCTGAATCAGCTGGACCTGGGATCTGCTCAATTCTAATTCGACTTTACCATGGCTCAATAAGAACCGAATTCGAAACATCTGTATCTGGGATCCGCTCCACCCCAATAACATTCACATTGCATTCCAATGTGCATATACGTGTAATGTGCTGGAGCTGGAATCTGCTCGAGTCCAAGCGGATCCTTGTCGGATGAGGAGAGCATCCCAGACACCCAGCACAATCACTGTGAAAGCGCAGGGTTCGCGACGCAAGGGGTGCCCTAATCGTATGGTTTCATTTGGATGTTTAGGATTTCTGGGATGAGAAGCGAGGTGCCATTGTGTTTTCTTTCGGATGCGTGGGACTTGGGGGACGTTCATCTTCCAGCGGGAATCCTGCCCAGGAGCCCCCCGAAGATTCATAGCCCCTGTAATCCCAAAAAGCCCTACACATCCGCATGAAAACGAAGTTTTCTCCCGTTTCACCGCAGATCCTAAAACACATGAAAGCATCGTTTCCTCACCTCTCGTCCCAGATATCCCAAACGTCCAACTGAAAGCACGAGGTTTCCGCACTCCTGACATCGCAAACTTCGCGTTTCATGCGTGGGGACTGGGGCCCACGCCCTGAGATGCCGACCAGCGAGAGAAGGGGAGGAAGAGAGAGAGAGAGAGAGAGAACAAAAAAGCGGAGAGAGAGAGAGAGAGAGAGAGAACAAAAAAAGAAACAAAGAGAGAGAGAGAGACAACAAAAAAAAAAAGAGGGAAATACAGAGAGAGAGAGAGAGAAAGAAAGAAAGAAAGAGAGAATAACAGAAAGAGAGAGAGAGAGACGAGAAGGAGGAGGAAGAAAGGAAGATCACACCCATCGTAAGTGAATGCTTGTAAGGAATGGTAAGACAGGGCTGGGGGGGCTGTCCACACACATGTATATATATATACATGTGTACATAGAGGTATATGTATATGTATACGTATATGTATAAGTGTGTGTATGCATGTTTGTATACATGTATATATGTATGCATACATATAGGTATGTATGTATGCGTGTATGTATGTATGCATGCATGCATGGATGTATACATGTAAAAATAAATAAAAACAATCCGCCGACAATGTCGGCGTGTGGAAAAGGCTGTTCCGTTTGACTCGTCGTCGTCGTCGTGGTCGTTGTCGTCGTCGAGCGCGCCAGCCACAGCGAAATTGAGCAACGTTGTAGTGGAGTCGAAGGGAAGCCCCTTCCCTTTGATCCCTTCCCCGCCGGCGGGGGGAGGTCCCAGGGAAGTCGGGAAGTCCCGGTTCAGATGCGACTCCCCCCCGGGCGGTTCGGGGGCCCAGAAAAGGCCCAAGACGCGGCAAGAATGCCCCAAAATGCCCCCAAGCCGATCCTCGAGGGCTCCGAATCGCCGAAGTATCGGTCCAAAAGAGAGTTCAGGATGCTGGCAAGTTCGTCCAAGAAGCCTCCTAGACGGCCCAAGATGGCTCCAAGATGGCTTAAGACTGCCCAAGAGGGCCCCAAGAGGCCTCCAAGAGCTCCACCAGGAAGGCCCGAAGAGGCCCAAATCATTGATTTTCCGATAGCTCGCCCGACTCCGAGTTCCCCGAACGCTTTCGAAACCCACTCGGGGAACGCGTGGCCCGATAGGTTGGCCAAGCTCAAACCCAACTTTCGGCCACGCAGGCGCTTCTAAAAAGGCAGGTGGCGGCGGTGATTCGCCGTAGGCGTCGTCGATACATACATGTATCGCTCGTGCTTCCGCGCCGCGCAGTGTCCAGATGATCACTGTACAGCCTTGTGAGTTGACATGAAGAGCGCCCTCGCAGCTCGGGCACTGTCCTCGGTCGCTTCCGGTAGCGACCACCTTGTAATAGGAAGTGTCGCCTGTATGTTGTACGCATGAAAAAGCAATGACTGTGTGCTCTAGCGCAAGACGCTGAGGATATTCGTCAAACTTGTTTGTAGGTATATATTAACGTATGTGTATGTATGTAGATATTTGTGCATGTATGAATGGATTTGTGTCTGCTTGCTTTAAGTGTGTATATATGTATGTGTGTTATGCGTATGCATATATGCATGTGTGTATAGCTGTATAGGTGTGCATGCATGTACGTATGCATGCATATTTGTATGTATGTATGTATGTATGTTTGTATGCTTGTATGTATGTATGTATATATGCATACAAGTGTACATATACGTATGCACGCAAATGTGTATATATACATACACATATATGTGCATACATGTATAAGTATATGTAGGCACACCTCGGTGTTCACAACGTATTCGTAAACAAGAAGGTATGTGGGCCTCCGCCTGGAACATAGCGTACATAGTTGGTTGAACGTCTCCCGCTCGCGGAGCTACTCCGCAGAATATCCACTACTGTTCGCGATGACGACTACGAAAACAATATCATGCCCATGCTCCGCTACCCGATTCGGGCCCTGGGGCCCTCGCAGGCAGATCTGGCTCGAGAAATGCCGCAAGAAGGTGGTGCTTGACGGCTCCTCGAGTGATTTCCCGCGATGTTGCATGTTTGTCGAGGCGTCGGATCTCAAATAGGGATGAGCAGGGGGACAAGGAGGAGAAGGAGGCGGACGAGAAAGAGAGCGAGGATAAAGACGACGACGACGACTTCTTCTTCTTCTTCGTCTTCTTCGGTGCATAGAAGAGCGATCCAGGCCCAGCACAACAACGATGCTAAAGTGATGGGAAAGCTCGGGTCCCCACGGGCTGGCCTGCAAGCGAGGAGCCCAGAGAGCGAAGGAGCAAAGCAAAGCGGGGACCCCAACAGCCGAGGCCAGGGGCAGAAGAAAGCAGGGGGAGGGGCGACGATAGACAACTTTTCCCAGCCAGGGTTCAACAAGTACCAAGCAATTAGAACGGCATTAGCTCGACACAAGAAGATCTGAACAAGACCCTACCGCCCACCAGCGGAGGACCCTTACCCATATTAGACATCCGATGCAAGATGAAGTGGTCCATAAAGAGAACCATATTACAACTGGCACCGAGTGGCGAATCCAAAAATTATTGAACTGACCCACCACCTCAATTTATTTCATTGCAAATGCACGCGTTCCATAGCGTCTCCTTGCCGCTGCACCCGCGCAGGCGCAAGTGTGTGCAACAGTTTCAGGCGCAACGTCTGATAAACACGTTGCCTACCGATTCCAGTTTTTTTCTTGGGCCGACTGCTCTTGGAGAGCAAGCTGCCCCCTATCAATGCCCAAGCCGCCGTCAGCCCCCGCTTCCATAATGGAACCTGTCCGTCCATCGCGAATGCCACCAACGGTTTAATCTTGATCTGGCTTGACAGCACGATCCATAGCCCGATCTCCCAGTAACCGTTCCTAGAAGCGAACCATCAGAGACCCGAGGGAACAAATACCAAACTGCTTGTCATTGCAATTGCAATACTGTTCAAAACTGCTATGCCTATCGGCCGTATTGTCGCTGCTCTCGGGTTTGTCAACCGCCATGCTGAGCCCTCCCGCTTTCGAAGGAGAGGCAGACCCCAACTGATCCCCGGACCAAGTGGGAACGAATCCTTTGAACCCAGGAGGAGGGGGAGGAGGAGGAGGAGGAGGAGGAGGAGGAGGAGGAGGAGGAGGAGGAGGAGGAGTAGGAGGAACAGGAGAAGGAGGAGGAGGAAGCGGATGAGGAGGAGGAGGAGGAAGAGAGAGGACGGGTCGAGGAGGACGACAATGTGCAATTGAAGGGGCAATGGAGGAGGACAACGCGCGAGCTCGAGCGCTCGTCCCATACCAGCGCCGCCCCGTGCTCCGATCTGGAACGCCACCGCACAGAGCGCGCTGTGCGTTGGCGGAGCGAGCACGCCGTCGGGCGCCGTCAGCTGCGCCGCCCAATCAGAAGAGAAGGACAATGACTCACGGCTGGATCGTTGTTTTGATGGGCGTCCTCCTCCTCCTCCTCCTCCTCCTCCTCCTCCTCCCCCTCCTCCTCCTCCTCCTCTTCCTCCTCCTCCTCCTCTTCCTCCTCCTCCTCCTCCTCCTCCTCCTCCCTCTCTTCGTCCCTCCTCCCTTTGTCCAAAAGGGGGAGGAGAGGTAAGGGGGAGGAGGGGGGAGGGGAAAGAGGGAGGAAGAGGACGAGGAGGATAAGGAGGAGGAGGAGGAAGAGGAGGAACAGGAGGAGGAGGACGAAGAGGAGGAGGAGGAGGGCGAGGCTGAGGAGGAGAAGAGGGAGGAGGGGGAGGAGGAGGATAAGGAGGATGAGAAGGAGGAGCAGGAGGGGGAGGAGGAGAAGAAGGAGGAGGAACAGGAGGAGGAGGAGGCGGAGGAGGGGGGGGATACTGATGTTGATGATTATGACGACGACGATGCTGATGCTGATGCTGATGACGATGATGCAGCTGACGATGCTGAGGATACTGATTATGCTGATGAGGCTGACCATGATGGAGATACTGATGATGTTCATGAGTATGATAGTGATGCCAGTGCTGATACTGACGATGATTACGGTGATGCTGATGATGATGCAGGTTATGATGACGACGATGATGGTGACGACGATGCTGATGGTGCTGATGAGGATGCGGATGCTGATGGTGATGATTATTTTGCTGCTGTCGATGATGATGACGATGATGATGATGGTGATGATGCTGTGACGATATGCTGAGTATGATGATTACGTGGATGAGGAGAAGGAATCTGACGAAGATGAGGATGGTGAAGATGAGGATGAGGATGAGGATGAGGATGAGGATGATGGTGATGATGCTGATGCTGCTGCTGATGACGATGATGATTATGCTAGTGATGATGTTGATGATGATGATGATGATGATGATGATGATGATGCTTGTGCTGCTGATGTTGATGATAAGACTGATGATGCTGATGACGATGACGATGACGATGAGGATGATGCTGCTGCTGGTGCTGCTGATGATGACGACGATTATGATGCGGATCGTCGATAGGCACCCGGTAGCGAATCCGCGCGTCGCTGGGCGGGGTGGGGCTATCAGACCCCTAGCAGCGGTCAATGGGCGATTGGGGGTCGATGCATTCCCCCCTGAGCCTATGTCCCTCTACCGTTGTCCCTGAATTGCTGGTTCCTGGACAAGCGTGTTTTGTACATTTCAGCCTCCTGGTGCAATTCTCTGGCTTTGGGACCAGCAGGCAAAGGCCCAGAGCGAAAGACACGGGGGAGGGAGCATCACGACGTCGGAGATCCAGGGAGGAAGATAGGGAGGTGCCGCCAACAAGCATCTATGATTATCCACGTGTTCTGGAGTCCCACCAAAGGTGCATGCGGAACGGCTGATACGGATACATCGTGAGACCATAAGACGGGCAGCATAAGGGGCGGGTTTTTTGTTGTCTGGCCACGGCGAGCCTTGGCCACGAATAGGTTCCCCGACTTCTGTCTAGGGAGCGGCCTGAAAACCAGATCCTGTCCTAAGCCCAAAGTGGTACTCATTGTTCGTACCCGCGGAGGCGCGCAGACATCCATGTCCATGTCCACCACTCCTCGGGCTCCCAGAGCGCAACCCCAGAGCGGTGAAGATATACGCTGGCGGTGCGGTATACGTAGACGGAAACTCAACGAGGAGGAGAAGGAGGAGGGGAAGGGGGAGAGGGAGGAGGAGGAGGAGGAGGAGAAGGAGGAGGAGGAGCCTCGGGGTACATGATGTTCTGGCTTGTGGGATGTAGGCTTTCAGGGTGTGCCCCACGAAAGCGCCTAACCTGATGCGCACCACCACCACCACCACCACCACCACTACCACCACCCCTGACCGCCCTCTTCCTCCTCCTCCTCCTCCTCCTCGTCCTCGTCCTCCTCCTCTCCTCCTCCTCGTCCTCCTCCTCCTCCTCCTCTGACCCCCCGCTGCCCCACCCTCGAGATGGTGACGCTCGTTGTGGCAGTCCTTCCTCCTCTGAGGAGCGCGCAGCAACGCTCGCTGCGCCGCCCTGCTCAGCTCGGGCACGCGTACGCGCGCCTCATGCTTGATCGCCCAAAGAGCCGGCGCATCGGCACGCTGCCCTGCCGCACCCCTGCCACCCAAGATGCCCCCTTTCGTCTCCACACTGCCCACGACGAGTTCGCGTCGTGCAGACCCCAGCGCTGGCTCCTGACACCGCGGGGATCCTTCAGGGCCTTGAATGGTCGGTCGTCCCCGCAACGTCCAGATCGTTCCACATCGGAACGATTCTTGGTCGCCCGCGTCGTTCACAATTGAACGCCGCTGGCGGCGTCGCCGCCGGTCGACACGATACGAACTTGCCCTACTCGGCCGCCCCTCGCGGACGGCGACCATCGAGCGAATCCCAGGAGACCGGCAGCAGGCACCGACGCGGCCGGCGACAAAAACGGCACTGCTGCGCCCGACCACCGCCGCTGCCAGAGCGGCGGCAACAGCAGTCGTCTGCGCGCGTGCGCGCCCTGCCCCGACGCCGGATCCGCCCTCCTTCTTGGGCGATTTTGCAAGCAGGTCGGGAACGCCCGCCCTGCTTTTCTAGCTCCTCTGGTGCCGACTTCCGCCCTACTTTGCCGCCGCCGTCTCCGCCCTGCCTTTGCGGAGAGATCCGCCCTGCGTTGACATGTCCGCCCTGCTTGTTCGCATCGCTCGGGGTGTTGGGCGACCATGTGGGCGACCACATGAGCTACTGCTTCGGTCTAGGGTGACCTTTTGGGCGACCACATGGGCTACCATACTGAGCCTGGGCGACCACATGGGCGACCTTAGGAGTTACCATCCCTGGTTTGGGCGACCATATGGGCGACCACACGAGCGACCAGATGGGTTACAGTCAACCAGGATAATAGGGATGCGCGGCAAGGATGCAAGGGCCTTGGAACGCCATTTTGAGGTTTTCCGCGCGGAGCGCGGCATACTTTCGAAGGATGCAAGGGTACGCTGACGCGCCGCCATCCTTGCCGAACGTTGGCCAGCGAAAATTGGCAAGGATGCGCCGAGGGGCAAGGATGCAGGGGTACCCTGGCCAAGCTGCCCCATCCTTACCATCATTGTTGACTGCACCGCTCTGGCCCCCCCACCCCCAGGGCTGCAAAGGGCAGAGCATGACACAAATGCACGTCCGACGCGAATCGACGCCGCACGCGGGAACAGCAGCCGGAGCACGGCGGCTCCAGAGCACGGGGCGACCCGCGCGCCGCTCCAGACACGACACGCGCGGGGCAGGGCCCGCCTTCGCTCGGACGTCCCTTCCCCATGCACTGTTCGGTGTCGTGCGTGCAGTTGCTCGCCAGATGACCTAAGATGCTCCTCGACGGTCATCTCCAGGATGTCTGCTCCCATCGGCGCGACGCGGAGCAAGGGATGAGATCACCCCGAAGGGCGTGAGGGGAGACTGAACGATTGCGTCCCACAAGCGTGCAGCCGAGACTAGGCTTGCAAAGCGTCTAACTGACACAACTGCGAGCCCAAGGATGAGGACGAGGAGGAGGAGGCGGAGGAGGAGGAGGAGGACGAGGACGAGGACGAGGAGGAGGAGGAGGAGGAGGAGGAGGAGACGAGAACAGCCCAAGGGTACCCTTTGCGCATCAATTCCCAGATGGCCCCGTCGACCTCGCTAGGAAAAAATGCACACGTCCGAGCGATGCCGAACGGGCGCGAAGGCCGTGAGGGGTTCTCCGGAGGCCGTGGGAGCCTCTTTGGAAATCCTGTGGGCGCCTTGGGTCCGGGGCACTTCCAGCAGCACCCGACACACATGCAGAGGGCAAACCATCCACCCCCACAATAACCACCCCGACAAGCGAGGCCGTTTACTAAACGCCCCCACTGAAGAAACCGAACAGGGCAGGGCTGTTTAGTAAACGCCCAAGGCCGTTTAGTAAACGCCGATTGTCCGGTCTGGGTGGTTTTTCCTCCCTTGGACATGGGATCATCAACCGAAGCACGGCGGATCTGGAGCCAAGGCGACCCTAGAAGAACAAAAATACATACACATAAACTTTTCGCCTTCCGAGCAGATTGCTTGGGTCTGCGCTGGACCCCCCTCCCTGGCGCGCGGAGCGCGCCAGGGGCGGCGCCAGAGGCGCCGCCAGGGGGGCCCAGCGCGGATCCAAGAGATCCGCGCGGAGCGCCAAACGTTTATATGTTTACCATGGCGCCTTGTCTTCTTCGAGACCCGCGCGCCGCCCCAATCAACAAGAACGCACACGTCCGAGTGATGCCAAAAGAGGGCGCGACGGCCCGAGGGGGGCGCGCCCGCGCCGCGCCCGCAGCGCCCCGCGCCGCCAGGGGCCCCAGCGGCGCGCTGCGCGGCGGCTCCCCCGCGCGGGCCGCCTGCTTCGGCCACGCTCGCGGGCCCGCAGTCGGCACGCACGAGGTGGGCACGGAGAGAGCGGGCACAGCGCCCAACGGCAGCTCAATGTTCGTGTTCGTGTTTTGAGCGGGACTCGCTGTCCGCGCCGCCGCGTCCCGTGTCCACCTTGAGACAGAAGGCCCGCCTGCCCAACAGCGGCCGCTGCTGGTTTGGGACAACATCTGCTGTTGGGCATTGTGGGTCCTATGAGGGGAGACTCCACCTGCTCGAAACAGGCGCCGAAAACAGCCAAGATCTACTCCGGGAGGGGGGAGAAGGGGGGGGTGCGAGGGCCCACGCCGATCGGCAAAACAATGAATGAGAAGACGACGACAGTGCTTTCGTGTGGTCTTTTATGTTTTGGGGGGTCCTGCACTCTTCGAGCTTCCGACGTTCCAAGACATCCAACACAGCCCAAAACCGCCTTAAGACCGCCCCAAGACGGCCCCAAAGGCCCCATGAGGCCCCCTAGACCGGCCAAGCAGGCCCCAACACGTGGCGCCCAAGACGGCCGACGAAAACTCGGAGCAAGGGCGGGAGCCCGAACCGACAATTCGCGCCCTCCGTCCCAAGATGCCCACAGGAGGCCACAAGAGGACCCCAAGACGCCCCCAGAGGCCCCAAGACGGCTCCCAAAGCTTCCCGCGACCTCCCAACGAATATCCCAAAGGCTTTTGACTCGCAACCCGAGAACGGTGACGGGATGGGCCGAAAGCCACTCGATGAGTAACTCCTCCGTGTCGCGCCCACAGACGTGTCGGTAGGGCGGCCCCATCGTTTCGCCCGAGACTTCCTCACGATGTACAGTCTGATCCGGAAGCCTGGACTTTGCAACAACTTCACGGATGCAGGGGGGGGAAATGCGACTCTCGCCGTAGCGCCGCGCACATTCACCCTCAAAGTCTGCAACAGCTTCCAGGGTGGAGGGGGGGTCGTTTTCAGACTGAGGCTCTCGCCTTAGCGCCGCGCGCATTCTTCTGAAAAGCCTGCGGCGGCAGCTTCAAGGATGGAGGAAGTGCCGTTTTTCAAAGTGCGGTTGTCGCCTGGGCACTGCGCCCATTCGTGCTCAAAGCTTGCATCAGCTTCACGGGTGGATGGCGGCTCTTTTTCAACATGTTGCTCTCGCCTTCGCGCCGCGCAAGTTTATCTTAACAGCATGCAGCAGATTTGCAGGTGGAGGGGGTAGCCGTTTTGACACAATGGTGCCCCGGTTGAGCGCCACGCACATTCTTATGAAAAGCTTGCAACTTGCAACAATTCCAGGGGGTGGAGGAGAGTGGCTTTCAAAATGGTGCTCTCGCCTTAGCGCCGCGCGCATTCTTACAAAAAGCTTGCGGCAGTTCCAGGGATGGCAATGGGGGGCACTTTCAACACTGCGTTCTCGCCTTAGCGCCGCGCGCGCGCTCGTCTCGGAAGTTTGCAGCGATGCCATAGATGGAAGTGGGGTGGCTTCCCAGATTGCGTTCTCGCCTCAGCGCCGCGTGCACGCGCCTTAAAAGTTCGCGCTCGCCTCGCGGATGGAGGGCGGCGCCCCTTCCAGGCGGGGCTGTCGCCGGTGCGCCTGCGCTAACCCGCTCAACGTTCCGCAGGACGGAGGACTGCTCGTCTTCAAAGTGGACCGCTCTCGCCTGAGACTCTGTTTATCAGCCCGACGCTTCAACGCACGTAGCGCTGCATCGATCCCTGGCGGCTCTTTCTTCAACATGGAGCGGTTGCTTGAGACCTCCTCGAAGTTCAAGACTGTAAGTGCAAGTGCGTGCAATACTTGCGCGGATGAGGGGACGTTCCTTCTTCCAAAGGGGGATCTCGCTGGACACCGCGCTGAACTGTATGAGTGTTGTCTTTCTCGTTCTTGAATGCGCGCCGCTAAGATGCAAGCCGACTCCTTTCCAAAGCGGGGTCCTCACCAAAATGGTAGGCCCACCTGTGGTGGTCTTTCAAGGGGGGCGCTTCCTGCAATGAAAGAGAGGACCCGTAAGGGCGTGTGGGAGATTTGGGACGGGAGGGTGCATTCCAGCATCGCTCTTTGGTTTACTCTGGTCCTCCTGGTCCTCCTCCTGCTCCTCCTCCTCTTGCTCCTGCCTCTTCCATTCCGGCTCCTGCCTCTTGCTTTACAAAGGTCCTCCTCCTTCTCCTGCCCCTCCTCTTCCACTGCAACATCGTCTACGTACACATCTTTGGCTTACTCTTGTCCTCCTCCTTCCCCTGCTCCTCCTTAGAGGAAGAGGAAACGCCATAAACATAAACGTTTGGCGCTCCGCGCGGATTTCTTGGATCTGCGCCGGACCCCCCTCCCCGGCGGGCGGCGCCGGAGCCAGAGGCGCCGCCAGGGGGCCCCAGCGCGGATCCAAGAAACCCGCGCGGAGCGCCAAAAGTTTTTTTGTTCATGGCGTTTTTTCTCCTTCGACACTTCGTGCTCGTGGAACCTCCCCCCCCCAGGAGAGCCCAGAATCGAATCGGCAGGTCGGATCGGCGATCGAAATGGATCGGATCGGCGGAAATCGGCAGCCGGGTCGGGAAAGTCGAATCGGCGGGAACCGGCAGGCAAGAGGCCTCCAGTGAGAAATCGGAACCCTAATCGGATTCCGACATCGAATCGAATCGGAATCGGAACCCCTCGAAATCGAATCGAATCGAATCGGCGGCGTCGTAATGAGCCCTGCCCCCCCCCCCCCCCCGCGGCCCTGCGAGAGGCGCGCGTGCCCTGCCGTGCCCAGGACCGCTCGCGGCGGCCCCCTGGTGGTGGGAGGCGCGCCTTCACGGCCTCAGGCGGGCGCGGCGTCGGGCCAGATCAGCTGCAGAGGGTCGAGCAGCAGGCCGCGGATGCTCTGCTGGAAGATCGCGAAGAACCTCTGGCGAGAAGGCAGTTGACGGTTTCCCCGGGGCCGTAGGCGACCCGAGGAGGATGAGGAGAAGGAGGAGGAGGAGGAGGAGGAGGTGGAGGTGGAGGAGGAGGAGGAGGAGGAGGAGGACGAGGAGGAAGAGGAGGAGAAGGCGGAGGGGGAGGGAGAGCGAGGAGGAGGAGGAGGAGGAGAGGGGGGAGAGGAGGGGAGAGGGGAGGGGGGGAGGGGGGAGGGCTAGGTGCGCTCGCGTCATATCTGACGTCCTACCCCTCCCTCCCATCCCTTACCATGGCGCTGATTTTCTCTATCCGCGGACGCGTGTCGTAGCGGACCTGTGGCTCCGCGCGCGCGTGCGTAGTGGGTGGTGGTGCACGTGCGTGCGTGCGTGCGTGTGTGCGTGGTTGTCGTGGTGGTGGTGGTGGTGGTGGTGGTGGTGGTAGTGGTGGTGGTGGTGGTGGTGGTGGTGATGGTGGTGGTGGTGGTGGTGGTGCTGGTGGTGGTGGTGTTGGTACTGGTGTTGGTGCTGGTGGTGGTTGTGGTGGTGGTGGTGGTGGTGGTGATGGTGGTGGTGGTGGTGCTGGTGGTGGTGGTGTGCTGGTGGTGGTGGTGTTGGTACTGGTGCTGGTGCTGGTGGTGGTTGTGGTGGTGGTGGTGGTGGTGGTGGTGGTGGTGGTGGTGGTGGTGGTGGTGGTGGTGGTGGTGGTGGTGGTGGTGGTGGTGGCGGTGCGGCGCGGTGGTGGCGGGCGGATGGGCGCGCGAGAAAAAGGCCCGCGCTGGGGCGAGAACGCCATCCTGAACGACGGAGGCCAAACACCGATCCGAAAATGAGGCCCACGCTGCAGCGGGAGCACGATTCGGAACGATTCGGGAGCAGAAATGAGGCCGGCGCCTCAACGAGAGCAGCATTTTGGGAAAAAATGACGCCGGCGCCTCAGCGAGAGTCGTTTCCCGGGATTTCCCGGGCATCCTGTGTGTAAAAAAACAGTACGCGGAGGGTGCGCGGCCATCACCCGGACGCCATCAGGGGAAGAGGGAGAGTATTTTCATATTGAGTAATTGTAAAGGAGGGAGGAGGAAGAGGAGGAGGGGGAGGAGGAGGAGGAGGAGGAGGAGGAGGAGGAGGAGGCAGGAAGCAGGAGCAAGACCGGGGCCGAGCGCGGCAGCCCAGGCCTCCAGGCCTCAGGGCGGCATCTGCGATGCGGCGGTGCTTCGTCGCTCCCCGCCTCTGGTGGCCCTCGCTGGGCCCCGGGAACCCTGCTCCTCCCTCCTCCCTCCCTCCTCCCTCCTCCCTCCTCCTCCTCCTCCTCTCCTCCTCCTCCTCCTCCTCCTCCTCCTCCTCCTCCTCCTCCTCCTAGGTCCGAACGCGGCGCCCCCCCATCCAAATTCCCGTCTGGGTCCGCTACTCACGAGGCGACGAGGCGGGGCGGTTGCCCTTGGAGGACACAGCATATCCACTCCATATACTGTACCAGTGTTCGGAACCAGCGCGTCGGCCGCCGAGAGTGGCTGACCGCGCCTGCCGAGGATATCTGGACATCGGCGGAAGAAGTTGAACCCCGCGTGGCATCGCCGACAGCGGGAGGCAAGAGCTCAGGCCCGTGTCGTAGCGAGATTGTCCGAGTATACTGCCATCAAGGCAAGACGGCTACTCAATCGTCATCACTCTATGTCCTCCAAGTCGTGGGACTGTGCTTCGTGTGCGACGTCAAACTTCTTGGAGAGACAAAATTGCAAGACTTGTGGCGCAACGAGGACGGAGTACGGCTCAGCCGTGGGTCAAGGTCAAAGGTCCAACGCTCCGAGGGGAAGAGACAAAACTCGTCAGGGAAAAGCGTCAGGTCAGAGTCCTCCTGCTCAGACCGACACGGACGAGCGACATAATTCTATGAAACGACAACAGCGTACGAGGTCTCCGCCGGTTACATTTGCAGACGAGGAGGAGGATGGTTCCAGGGACGAGAACCCGAGGCCTCTCAGCATCATCCCAGCTCTTCAGTCGGAGGCGCGGCTTCATCAGCACTTCCCAGGAGAGCTAGAAACAACGGCGTCGGCCAAAGATCGCAGTACGTTCATCACGGAATGCCGACACCAGTTGAAAGTTCTTGCAAGCGCAATCAGGCTAAAAAAGAGATCGGGAGAAACGGCCTACGAGGCGCGATCATGGCATTCTCTTGTTATGACGGCCATTCATCTTTGTCGACCTCACAAGGATCAGTTGTCCAGACAGGAATCAGCTCTTCAAATATTGGAAGTGAGACTCCAGGATATAGACAAACATATATAAAAAAACAAAATATCTCACCGAGCTGCAGGACAACGGGGATCTTACAGTCGAATGGGTCCAAAGGCACCACGAAGCTGTGATCGAGATACGGTCTACAGCTACGGACATGGGCGCAGAGGTGACTGGTACAGCAACGCCTCCTGGAGATCCTGCGCCTTCAACTCCCAATGCGCCGTTGCCTGTCGGACCACAGCACTGTGCGTCTCAGCAACACCAGCAGCATCAACAGCAGCAGCAATTATCCGACATGGCCATCAAGAAAAGACAGTTAGTTGGCTCATATTGCTACCTAACTCACGGCGTATCAGTCACATATCGATGCGAGTGTCAATGCTATTCGAGCTCAAGTGATCACAGTGAACAACAAGCACGAAGCTTTAATGTCTGCATTGCGCGGTGGTGCATCACATGTGGAGGCAGAGAGAGAGAGAGAGAACGAGCTACGGAAGATTATGTTGTTCCACATCCAGCGTCGTTACCCCGCGCTACGCGACTACATCCAGTGGCTACGCCAAAGCGGGGCGCAGCTCACAAGGACGATCCAGATCATCAGCCCTGACGCCTCCCGACCAGAAGTCCTTCGCCAGGCCGACGAGCACCAGCTCAGGGTGCATCTACGGACGCGGTGGGGACTGCGGTCGACGTGGCGGCGGCTTCCCCAGCAGGTGTCGACGACATAGACGACGCTGTCCTGAGGAAGGGATACGAACCGCCGGGGCAATATCAGAAAGAGACATGATCGGCCACGGCTCCTCCGATCATGACTTCCACCCAATTTTCAAGGGGTCAAGTCCACGTACGTAGATAATCCAAATATTGTTGTTTCGCTACTCCGTCCATGGGAGGAGGCACTCAATACTGATTGGCGAACAAATTAGAGGTTTCTCCTTGATTGCACCTCGCGTTTCTTTCAGTCCTTATCAGAGTGGGACGGGGGGTTATCAAGCATTGCACGCATCGAAATCTTTACCGATGGCAGTGAGGGCTCTACCCCCACAGATGCGAAACCTGCGTGGGCCTTCTGTGTCCTCGTCGTTTCTGGAAGCGGCGGTTATCATAATTTCGTCGATCATGCAGGCTCATTTCTTCGCGATGACTTGTGTGCGACGCCCACGCAGCTCAGCCTAGTTTCAGAGACGATCGCTTTACTGTGGGCGATGGCGTGGGCGCTCCAGTGACCATTTGCAGATGTCCCGTTGCATTTGTACCTTGACAACGTGGTTGGCATGAATGCAGCACGAGGTATATGGGACATACCACCATTGGCAAGTTTGTCATCATGTTTATGTTCTGTATTTCACGTGTTCATATTCAAGCACATTGCTGGATTCAAACATGTTCATGCGCACGCACAGCATCCTGTTAATGAATATGTTGACACACTGGCAGCGCCAGCTGGCATGAGTATAGTAGGAAATACTGTTGTGTGTCTGTGGTTGCCGTTTTTACACGATCCGCTGTCTGCGCTGCGGACGTGGCTGCCTCTATTGCCGACCAGTGGAAGACAGCAATATCCGAGCATTAGACAAGGGGGCATCATCATCGCTGGCTCAAAGGCACCACATGAGTATCCTGCAATGCAACGGTGCGTTGGATGTTAGACTTTTAGCTGAACAGTTTCGACATTCTGACTTTATGGTTGTTGGCACTGCTGAAACTCGCATGCCCAATCCTGGCTAGTGCCATGTCGGATCTTTTCTGGTATTACATGGCCCAAGACATGAGTCTGGAAGTCACGGTTGCTCTGTATGGCTTCGCTTGCATAAGGAGTTCATTCCAGGCAGAAAGGACGCTAGAATTTCCAAGAACAAACTTAACGTTGCGGCTGCTACACCTACACTGCTGGTCGTCAATATTGCGCTGGTTGCATTAAGTGTTACGTTTTGTGTAGCGCGCGCCCCACAGTCAGGACATAACAGCACTGAGATACTCTCCCGGTGGAAGGATACTACAGCTACTTTGAGCAGAGCAGCCGGCCAGGCCGACTATCTTTTTCTACTCATGGATGCCAACGCGACGGTGGGCTCGACAGTCTCAGAGTCTATTGGAAGTGTGGGGGCAGAGTTGGAGTCCTTCTGTGGGACTTGTATGCATCAAAGCTTAGGGAGCTGGATTTGCGTCTGCCTCGTACGTTTTTGGGCCCCGCGGTCGACCGCAAAACCTGGATCCCTCCTGGCGGCTTTTTTCCTACACAACACATTGACTATATTGGCGTACCTAAGAAGTGCTTACAGTACTCCTCGGGGTCAAAGGTAAATGAGGGCGTCGAGCTCACTGCCTCCCAACCGGATCATTACCTTGCCCAGTTGACTGTCAGCGTGCCTGCGCCTTCGGTTCGGGCCAGCCTAAGTACGTTATCCTCGAAGCCGCAGCTGGACAGGCGCATGCTTCAAGATCCAGAGTGTATACAGGCTTTCAATTTACATATGCAGACATGCCCTGCGCCATCGCGGGCGATTCCGCCCACAGAGCACTGCGCGCTCGTCACTCAGCATGTACGCCAAGGAATGGAAGCATGTTTCGTCAACCACGATCGGCAGAACAATAAAGCAGCATTGTCGGATATCACACTCGGTGATCTTGCGTCGATTCGCTCGCATCGGAGAGGTATTGGGCAGGTCAGGCATTTGGTTGCGAAGTTCTGGCATGCTGTTGTTGTTAAGGCCTGGCATGTGCTGGCGACGAAAAGCAAGGACATGGTCGTTGCCGTTTTGGTTTCAAAG